AGAAAACTTTGAATCAATCTGACTGGATGATCTGGTGAACTGGAAAGTGACCTGAGATGACATGATGGGAATTGGAGCTATAGAAATAAACTGAATAGAATTGAAATTAAATGATGTCCAAGATGACGCCAATATTTGTCCTTATTTATTAGAAATTAGGATTTTGCTGCTACCTTATTCCTGTAGTTGGGTCAAAATGATGGGATTTTAGAAACGGCTGAATCTTTTAGTTTTTCTTACATTTTTTTCTTATTCCCATTAAAAGTCTGTTTATTAATAAAATGCCCTGTATGATGGATATAATCCAGCCTTGGTTGCAGAGATTATAAACGGTAATCTGAGGGATTGTTTCCTCTGCGGGGGAACCTCAGCCTGAAGCAACACTGGAAGCAAGTCAAGGAGTCTTTAGGTGTTTTTATGGAATGTAACTATAGATAAATGGCATCCAGAGGTGAAGTGTTTAATGGCTTTGTTTGGAGTGTTACATAAATTTGCACACTCTTGACTGCATTCCATTCAGCTGAGTTAGAGACCTGCTATTGTGTCAGCTGCCTTGCAGGTATGAATACTTTGATGCTTGATGAACTTGCAGAGGCGTCTCATGGAAAAGCCCAACTAGCTTTTGTCATTCCAGCTCAACCTGTAACAAAAACAAAGTAGTGGTGAGAAGTGAACATAGAGCCGCTGTGATAGCACGTTAGCGGCGCGGCGCTACAGCATCTATAAGAGGCGGTGCTCAGCTCACCCTGGTGGAAAATTTGAGTAAATTTAAAATCATTCAGGTTCCAGGGTGGGGGGGCGGCAGGGGGTCTCTGCAGGACCCCTGCCGCCCCCCCACCTCATGCATCCCTCTCTGTGTTCTTTCCAAAAACAAAAACAATCAGTGCCTTAAAAATGACTTGGTTTCATTTTTCACCACATCAGCAGCAGGATTTAGTCTGGTCTGCTCACCAAACCACTTTTGGTGAGTTTCCTCTCAGCCAACGCTGTTTCACCACAATCCATCAGCTTCCATGTTTTCGCTAAGCTAACCGTCAGCAGTGGTGCAGGACCTGCTTCCAGAACTCTTCCAGTTCAAACGACCGTCAGGCGTTCATGGTTTGCCTTCAACATCCTAACTACTTTGATTAGGTTGAAAAAGAGGAAGCATCTAAACACATTAGATTCTGTTTTCCACAGTTTCTGATTCAGAGTCGATGTCCTGGAGAGACACCATGATGGGTTTACATGTTTGCACCATCAACGAGTCATTTTAACTCTGAATCTACATGAGGAACTACGATGAATCGGCCCTCCAGCGTCGGATGGTTCACTCCATTCGGGCCCCTCCCACTAAAAGCTCCAGGTAACCCATTTCTGGACAGGTCAGTGCAGGAGGACGGGTTCTGGTTCTGGTGAAGGAAAGGTGGAATTTATGGGAAGTTTTCAATCAGGTTACATGTTGGGAAATATTATTTCTGTTTACGCGGTTTTACCGCCAGCAGGTCCACCGAGTCTGCAGAGGACGGACCCAGCAGGTCCA